GGTGCATTCTGATTGAAGGCAGAACGGAGTCTCAGCAACCCCTTTGTTGGCGAAGGTTGACGACGTCATTGAGGTAAGAAAATCATTACTATTTTTCCGGTTTGAGTGCTGATTAGTAGACAGAGTGGTATCAACATTCCAGATAACGATGATTCGGTGTCAACAAGCTTGAGCTGCCCTACTATTGAGGTAAGAAATTGTTACCTCAATTCAAAAATCTACTCGCTGAATACCACTTTGGTAGTACCACGCAAACCTAATGAACCGTTATCACGCACTTTGTCCCTCACCTCCTCAGTGGTTTTCTCGTGCATTTTTGTTTGTAAACAGAGACTTTGGACCTCAATATGCAGCTCTCCTTTGCTCATGGATTGATTTTGAGCAGTTTCACGAATGGAAAAATCCACTCCGTGGGTTTCATCCGTGGAACCGACCAGTTCTACTCAGCGACTGGATGAGCAACAGAATGGGTCCTGTCCCTGCTTTATGCACTGTTGAACTGGTCACTCGCTTCGCAACCAGCTCGTGTTCACCGGTCCCTCCAATGTACTGGTCGCTTTCAAGGCTCAGGGGTGAGTACCCCCCCAGCTCGATATACTTCGTGGATTTGCTATCGTTAGAGTGTTTATACTACATTTCTGGTTGAAATAGGCTATATGGGCATGGATATAATCAAAATCTGAGTTTAAATACTATTTGTCCGTGGTACTCTACCGCTACCTACGGTCCTCTTATCCGCACCCAGCTTCTTCTTTCTCTGACATATCAATGGTTGAAGACGCGCGATGTGTTCCACTTCGAAGATCTATCAAAAGTCGCGCCAGAGATGAGTGAACGCGCCGTGCACAGCAGCAGACAGCAGGTGGGAGAGGAAGAGGTACTAAGTGGATGTCAAATGATCGAGAGTCCAAAACTCTGAAGAAGCTTTGCCGTACTAGAGAAGCAATATACTCGTTAATGCTCTGAACGGACCCGGAGCAGGCGCCATCTTGGTTAACACCCACGATGGTGTGGAATTCAATATTGGTGGAGAAGAATTCGTTGTCGCAGCAGACCCCCCTACATCGGAAAGTGGCAAGCTGGTATTAGAAGATGGAGATGGACCGTTGGAGAGCTGAACACCTCGGACTAGAGCTGGATCCAGTAGTCAGGGAAGGTCCGGCAGATGCGGGGGATTGTGCGAGATTTTGTAGCTGTTGAATCTGGAACGAATGGGTCGATGTATCAAATCACACCCCGATGTGCTTGTTGATTCACGCGGCATAATTGTTAATGACCAGTATAAAGAACAAAGTATTCAACTGTGTAAAGAGTGTTTCCACAACGTACCCGTTGTCACCAACCATCTGTATTTTGGTGCACAATATCAAAAAGCTGAGGTAGCGGGGCCTTGCCGCTGGTCGGCGCTACCGGTTATAGTACTTATTAGTAAGGTAACTACGGAGCAAAACCAAAGAAGGCACCGAAAACCAAAGAAGGCACCGAAAGCAAAAGGAGAAACGGAAAGTGTTTTGAACATGTTTAGTTTCGGGGACGGTTTGTTCCACCGAACAATTGAGTTACAAAGCCACCACAAACTCTAAAAGTAGACAACAATAAGAAGTAGACAATGTTGAGAAGACATATCATAGAGTAGTATAAACTGACATTCGCAATACCAGCAGGGTTGACTCGTACCAAGGTACACAAGCCGAGAAAAGCCGATTCCTTCTCTTTGTTGTCACGAATCTCACACAACATCTGACACCAAGCCTGAGTGAACTCTGGAAGTCGAGGAGCGACGAGGTTGGGATGCATGAGACCAATTCGGCCTATTGAAACAGCGGCATTCTCGCGCAAGCTTCTGGGAGCTTGGGGGTGGAGAAGAATGGGGATCAACCGCGAAATTAGCGAGGGAACCCATTGTTGGAACTCGGGATCATCTGGAGGAATGTAGTTAGAATGAAACTGGGATATAATGCGAAAAACGCACCTCGTCCATACTGGAGCACAACCTCACCAACCGACCAGGCCGCATTGTCTGAGGCACTAACAAATCCAACATTTGGTTCTGGGTCAAGTTGTGGAATAAGCTCAGCCATGATACCAGGCATGTGAGGCTTGAGAATCGTGAAGCAAGCCATGGCCATATCTCCAACAAGGGCATATGCAGATTGCCTAACGGCAGCTTGAGGATGATTAGAGAAAATTGTGAGCAGAGCCAGTAAAGTTGGCTGATTCTGGCTAAACAAGGCTTTGACCGCCATGCCCAGACCTTGCGTGAGTCCCGAAAGAACATCTAAAGCAGCCACCAGGGAAGACTCGTCTGGTTCATCAAGATCTGGATTTTGTTGGAATTGATGATACTGCAGGATGATGGAGCAGCATCTTTCAAAAACAGGTGGTGCATATGGTAGGAATGCTTCGCCCATAGCGATAGTGACAGATGCAAGGCACTACAAGAAATAAAGGTCAAAGGGATTCTGCTGGATTATGAATAACGCGTCAAACCTCGAGTAGCGGTATCAGACCGATATCGTCGGTCTTCAATTTCGCCCAATGATTGGTGAGCGGAGGCATGAGAATTTCAACGTAGGTGGAATCAGACAGCTCACGTCCAACGACATCTGCCAAGGTTCCTACAGCATCATAGAGGATCGACATATTCTTGTGCTGATACTTTTCTAAAGCAGAGACCAGCTTATGAAGTACCATCTCAAGATGCGGAGCGAGTTCCATGCCAGCATGTTCTTCGAAAGTGGCAAACGCACTACATCCAGCCACTTGAACTTGTCCGTTGTTGTCAAGAATCATGCGCAAAAGCTAAGGGCCAAAAAAGTCAATTGAAACAATTGCGCAGCTATGTATGTGATAAAAAACTTACTCCTTTCATCGTCGGTATGAAGTATTTTTGCTTGTGCTCATCCGAGATTGGTCGGGTGGTCCAGCTAGCATAACATCCAAGTGTCCAGCAAGTGATAGACCTAACAAGAGGCTAGACTGTCTAATCAGTACAGGTTACTAGGACAAAGAACATTCAATTTACCTTTGAATCGTTCAGTGTGTTGATGAGATGGGGTACAAGGGTCGGCAAATGAGGTTCAATTGCTATTATACATCCTGGACAAGGTATGTAAGTCAAAGAAAAGTTAAAAAGAACAGGCACTCACCCTCTGCAATTGCACCAAGGGCAAGGATACCACTTTCCTTCTGCAACCAGTCATTGCTCCATAGCTTATCCTTCAATGGAGCAAGCAACACATTGAGTAAATCATCACTAAACTGAACAGCCAGGGCATCTAACGCCGCAGCGGCGCGCGTTCGAAGACTCTCAAGGACCTCACCGCCTGTGTCATCTTCCAGATGATCATCCTGACTATAGATCATACAATCCAGGAGAACGGGGGCCACTTTGTTGAGTTGCAACGACGTAGCTAATTCAATGTTTTTAGCAAAAGTGAGCCAGAATCCAGCGGCTTGGAAGGCAATATTTTGGTTCTGCTCCTTCAATAAATCGAGCATGAACTCGGCCACGTCCTCCATCTCAGGCACAAGCTTTTCGGGACGAGTCACCAGCAATGATGCTAGTGCTTGACAAACGTGTTGGCGAACCGAAGGATCCTCGTCAGAAGCCCGTCGCAAAAGACAGGCTATGAAAGTGTCAATATGAACATACAGGGACTGGGAGTTGACCGGGACGAAACATGAGAGGCAAGCAACCGCATGCGACCTCATCTTGAACGAAATGTGGTCTGCAAGGGAAAGGAATTTGGGAATCATCAAGTCAAGAGGGCAAGCGCCACCGATTTCTACATCCAACTTTCGCGGATAATCTTCGCATGCTTTCTGAAGAACACTAAACGCAGCCTATCAAATAGTTCAAAAAGATTCAAAAGTTTATCGCTTTCACATACCTCTTGCTTATCCAAATCTGTCAAATCTAACATATTCAGAAGCTGAGAAAGACACTCGGGCCAATTCCTGGGTTCGAGAACACCGAGGAAGGACACGATACACTGGCCAGCAACCGCCCGTATCGTCACAGACTCAGACTCAGCATCAAAAGGACGGAACACAGATACTTTTACATACTGTGCCACTTCAGGCGACGAACTGAGGATGAGTGGCGCATTGTCTTTTAGCAGATACCCAGCAACTGTTCGCATTTTTTCTTCTTCTTGGGGCATCGCAGTCAAGATATGAACCAAATAAGCAATGTAGTCTGGTACACAAGTCAAGGTCTTGAGTCTCTGGAAAAGACCATTTATCAGTAAAATTTTTCTCAAAGAATTGATTGGTTTGAACTGATTTACTTGAGTCATATTGCGCTCAACGATGACATCCACGTCCGTCGATTTATGAATGGTCGTCAAGATTTCCTGCAATCCCGCAGGTTGAGGGTTCCATGCCATTGTCAAAACGCGTGAAGAGAGAAAATGAAGCTGAACGAAAGAAAGGTAAGGTTGTAACGCGTCACCAATCTGTCACTGATCGTGCACGCTTGATAGTAGATATTCCTATCTCACTCAGGTTCAAATACTGTCCATTCTCCTTCCACCAGCACTGGCAGCGACCAATCCAAACCCACAATCGTTTACTATCGATTCCTACCAACTCAACGGGCGCCTAGAGACAATGTAGAGGTTGTTCGGGGGAGCGAAACTCTGACGTCGTTTACAAAGAGATCATCGTTCCTTGCCTACGCAAAACGTTGGACTTAGATGAACACGAAGTCAAAAGGAGCCGTCTTACCGTGTAAAGATAAACTCAATGCCATTCCAAAAGAGCTTCTAGGTCGATCAAGTAGCAGCAAAGGTAGTAATCTGTTGTTAAAGATAGTACTGTCCTGAGCAGAAATTGGATCAACTGCAAAAGAAACTGTTCCGAACACTTGTATGAACTCCCTGCCAATTGGAATCACGTCGCATACCCAGGCTTCGAATGCGAATCGCTCTCCGTTTCCTACACCAAACTAGTCTTTATCGCTCCGCATCTCCTTGGCCCAGTCTGGAATGTCAAAAAGTCCTGAGTGGGGTTCGAACCCACGCCGATTCCGTAAATCTTGAAGAAACTGTTATGATATTACAGAACAATCATCATACCACTAGACCATCAGGACATTGTTATCTACAGATTAAGACGTATATTGGTAGCTCAGTAAAATTACAATGACATCGCAGAGCGTCAGGTCTCTCGATGAAAGAAGACTACACCGAGCACCGAGCAGATGTCCTGCCTACAAGGGGAAAAGGTTTACTAGTCGTACCAAACAGGACTTATGACACATCAGCTGCGCGAAACTTCTACTGGCGAAATTCTCATCTTGCCCGACTACCCTGACGTAGTCCGCCGCATCGCGAATATTTACTCGAGTCCAGTATTCGTTGAACAAGGAGTACTTATCACGGGTCGTCAATATTCGTGTAAGGTACCGTCCACTTCGTTCGCAGAACGGGCAAGTCTAGTTGTCGATTTCCAATTTCTAAAGTGGACTGAGGAAAAGTTAAGGTGTGAGAGTGAAAATAGAAAGGACAAAGTACCAAATTGGAGCCCGGATACAATGCATTGATCTTGTGACAGCGGAATATCAGATAGGCCATATGCGCTGTAGAACAAATCCTGGTTGTGGTGTAGATTCCACACAGCACTTGGTCCCAAGCCGGCAATAAACCTAACCTAACCTAACCACAATCTGTTTCGCATACCAATGAGGTTGAAATTCGAGCGGTGCTGTACACCACGGATGACCTTATGGATATTGACAAGCTCGGGCTGCTTGTGGATGAGGTCAAGTCAACGTGCTGGGTGTCTCTCACTAATGATGTCCAGGCGGCAGTCCGAGTCCATCTCCTACATAATAGGGTCAACTACGATTCACGGGGAAACAGTATCGCACCCACGGGAAGTTTGCAGCTCCAGCCATACCTCCATGTTATCACGGTCCCAAAGCATCGCCATGCCTTCACCCAGTTGGTAACGTCCAGTCATGCTCTTTCAGTGGAACGCCTACGCTATGACGAACGGTATAGACCACACATCCCGCGAGAGTTCAGGCTGTGTCGATTCTGTAGGCGGGGAGTAGAGGACGAGTGCCACGCATTGCTGGGCTGCGAAGGTCACGTAGGATTGGTGTACATGCGACAGCGGTTCATGCTGGATATGGAGGCATTAGCGCCTGATTTGCTGAAGGCTCGGCAGGGGCTATCCACCTATGATTTCCTCTGTAGATTTTTGTTCGATCTGCGGGTTCCGACCTTAACTGCAAAATTTACATTTGATGTATTAGGTATCTTCTCGGGGCGGGAACCTTATATCCCCGATCCACACCTATACACTACATATGAGTCACATCTAGGAGAAGACGGTACAAGAATCTGGGACTTACGGACATCGGGGCTATTGCGCTCCCCAGCAGGCGTAGGATGATAACGCTTTGGTTTATACTGATCAAAACCATAGGCTGGGGAAAGAAACGGTGTACCACTCATTTTTATTGGTCGATCCGGTACAAATGTCGTGGGCAAGAATGACGTTCAGGTCTGGGAGAAGGTTTTGGCACCGCCGAAGGAGAACACAGCTCGTAAAGGTTTTCGGGAGGAAGCGCTTGGCCTGATGTGTCTGCTGTCAATTCTATTTGTAACAGAGAACATTTTGGTGAGGAAAATTATTCGTTTTTCAGGTGTATTGGTGTGACTGTAATCCCAGAGAAATTCCTACAACAGATTATTTCCGTCATTGGCTTGAGCGTGTCTTTCGGCTAATGCACACTTACCTCAAAAATGAGAACACTAGCTGGGCCGTAGAGAACACAGATGACGCAACGATCTACTTATAATCCTGGAGTCGTTGAAGCGTTTTGGCGATCATATGTTTTTGCTGTGGTGTAACATACTTAGATAGCTTTTTTAACATTTAACGCAACGCAGCGTACCTGGTATGCACTCGGCGATTATCATTTAGAGGGACATGGCTCGTTCGAATATGAAGTCTTCATATAGTCTTCACGAAACAAAAAAGGAGGGTGCATTTTGTGTAAAGACAGTGAAGATGGAAACGTCGGTGCAAAGAAAAGAGGCCGCGAGAGCGGCCTTGGGAGTTAGAAAGAAAGAGATGGGAAGGGGTTCACGTGCCTTAGCGGCATCTATAGCGGTTGACGCGGTTGGATTTCAGACCAAAAAGGCAGTCTGCGCCTGCATTGGCCTTGCAAAGAGACGCTATTATTGTACAGTACACATCTCCCAGAGAAGTGATTCAAACATAAGTTACAGTAATTCAAGACCGTCTAGTCAGTAGTAGGTGAAACCCGAGGAGACGTCGACATACCGCGCTAAGTGAGCGCTTATTTTGTTCTACCTTGCTTTCTTTCACCATGACCATCAATCTTCCGGACGACACTATTTCAGAAATTTTAGGCCACGTAGTCTCCAACGGCAGTATCATTATGAGTCATTGCCAAATTTGGGGTCAGCCCGTCCCACGGCTAATTATGATGAGTTGGGTCTGTCGACAATGGCGTCGGACCGTCGAGAGGACCCCCAGTTTGTGGGCATTCGTCAACATGATAATATATTCAGAGCCCGACGAGGAGGCCTACAAGGGCTGTGGTATTGAAATGGAATATCGATCACGCGTCTTTCCGGTGACTGGTTTTAAAACTACCGTTGCTAGATTCTTGGATAGGTCTGGTCAGCATTTGTTGAATGTAGACCTCACTGTGGTTGGTCGTGATGACACTATGTGCGATTTCCCAGCACTTTCGTCCGACCTTTTTGATGATGTATCGCTTTCGTCCGACGTTTTTGATGCTGTATCGCTTCTGACGGAGCAGGCTTATCGTTGGGGAAAATTCAGATACGAGGGACCAAGCGGCCTTCTTAGTCTCATACTCTCTGGACACGAATTACCAAAACTCACTGAAATTGACTGCCGCTTTGAAGATCTAGATGGTTTTGATTATGACTGCTTCCGCCACTGCTTCCGCCAAAGTCCACTGAAAAGATTTGGCTTGGCAAAACACATAACCTTGGGATCACTAGAGAAAATATTGGGCGACTACTCTCCGCGTCTGGAATCTCTCGTGGTATCCTCATTGATGGGTGATACTATTGTAGACGTTCACACATGGCGCAACATCACCTCCCTTAAATTGAAAGACTGGGATACAGCATCGGTTGAACTACTATTCTCCTCCCTCGAGTTCCCATCGTTGAAAGAGGCTGTGTTTCAACAAGGTTATGGCAACTGGCCAACCGAGGCATTCAGGGACTTTGTTGCTAGATCGGGGTGTGTGCTAGATACCCTTATTCTCAAGGATATATCACTATCTCACCAGGACCTTCTTAAAATTCTCGAAACTCTACCAGGTCTCCAGACCTTACATATACATCTGTCAAGTTGGTATGGCTTGACTGGGGAACCACAATGTCCAATCACGCCAGAACTTTTCATGAACCTTACGGTCACGGAAAAGGACTTGACTCAGTCTCTCATTCCACATCTAAAGAGTCTGGTCATAGTCTCTGATGTCCAGATTAATTTTGATGACCGCCAAGTTGTTACCATGGTAGAATCGCGCTGGGTCAGCCCCAGTTTAGACCAGTCCAAAATAATCAAAAAGGGACAAGGATGTGGCATACGGTCTGTTGTTCTTAGGCTCACAAGCCAGGATGTAGATCTCCAACTTTACCAACAACTGGAAAAGTTGGCTAAGCAGGGTCTGAGAGTGGAGGTGGTAGGGAAGCCAGCGAGGGAATTCGGGCAGAGCGATTCAGAGCTCACAGAGGATGACGAGGGTGCAGATCTACAGACATGATTTTATATCTTTATTTCTCCTGCAGCGCGCTACAGTTCTACCTTCCTCTTTTGTAGTGTGGCTGCCTCCTGTCCTGTCGTAATTTCCACTTGATTTCCACATGATTTTGTATTTCTCCATGTCGAACTGCAATGACAAACTTCTTTTCACTTGATTAACTTCGCACTGCAAGAAATTACTAAGATTCTCTCTAGTGCCTACGCTGGTCATCCTGCTTCCACCATACAAGGTTTTCGAGAGGTGAAGGACATGATGGGATGTAGAGGTTATCTGGTCAGTGGTCACAGGTAAGTCTTTCATTCAGATACGCCTTCAATGTGATTGTGATAAAGTTCCAGATTCAGGTGAACCAGCTGTTGCCCGAAGCGCATATGCAAATAGCGAAGCCTTTATAGCCATAAGGTGAGAACGCCAGCTGTGTATCCAGTGCTTCCGCGATCGGTGTCCCAGCAAGAACGTACAATATCCTTCGATCTTGGTTGTCATTACTATAGCTGACGCGGTCTACTATTTTCTTCACTCCAAGCGCTTTATCGGAAAAGACTAACAACTCCGATAAGCTTCATCGACGCGACGCAATGGATGCACAATTAGCTCACGGCCTCACTGGTGCGCAATGCCAATCTCGCTTTAACAAAAATTAACACCAGTGGGCAATATCCACTATCTGGAGAAGTATAACTGACATGGTCCCATTTAGGAACAGCCGGTGATTCATAATGAACAGCATACATCTATGTGCACTGAGATATTTTTATGTAGTATCCATCGAAATTATCAACCTTGGCCTTTCCGGTATTACGTTCCATCGACTAGATTCCGGGTCTTACATTCGCGCCCACGAACCGAGTACTAGTGATATCGATGGACATCGGCCCCTATTCACAAAATCAGATCGAAAGTAAGTGACGACAGAGGCCTACCTTGCACACGCTCATCGTTGCACTTCTCAAATTTGCAACTCGAGGCTACGGTGGCAGAATGATTCCGGTCTATCATCCTCCATTCAATCGGTCTCAAGTTATAATCCCCAATATTCCACAATGGCTGAGGTTCAACCACAAACGGTAAAGGTTCAATTGGAGAAACCCTTCGTTTAAATTCCCGTGCAGCAGAACATGGATGTATCATCGTACCAGTTGGTTCCGAAAGACGCATGGCACCTGAAAACACGTACTCTCGTACCGCACTCAGCGGAGGCAAAACAGCAGTCCGCTTTTCCTCTACAAAAATTGCAAACTTCAATATGCATACAACAATGTTTTTAATGTATATTTCCACTCACCTTTCCAACAACTAGATGAATC